TTACCTCAATGTTCTTGGTGAGATGGGCAGGAAATGCCTTACCATGCCCGTTACACAGCTGAGAAGACTGAGGCTTGGAGAACCGTGTGGGCCACCAGGTACCCCCCAGACACTGGAGGATTTGCTGGTGCTGAGGATGAATTCGGAGGCTAGCAGCTACCCCCCAGCCCTGCCCGGTCAGGGAGGCCTACCGTGGTCTGTGCCCGTGCAGGACCCTCTGGAGTCTCGCAGGTGTTTTCCAGATCTTCAGTGGGACACCATCAAGTTCAGGGCCAGGCCCCCTCTGCTTCCCTCTCCTGCTGAATCTTCTCTGGAGACAGCTCCTCACACTGCCCCCCACTTGACTTCCCGTCAAGTGCTGGGTGGCCCTGAGGCTCCCCCCACTTCCACTCCACCCCCTGGCTGAAGGGCTGGGTGCAACAGAGGCAGAGAACCCCAGACTCCTGGCCAGACTGTGCCTGACAGGTGGGGCAGGGTCTTCAGGGTGGCCGAGGGGTAAAGTGAGGCTGGGGGGTGGGGAGGGGGCGACCCTGAGCCCAGCACCCCTACCCAGCGCTGCGTGGCAATGCCGCTGGGACCTGAGTCACAACTGACTGGGCCGCACCCAGCCTGCCTGGGTGACCCAGGCCAGCATAAGGCGATGACTGAGCAGCCCTCCACATGACTGGCCGGGGTCGGCCTTAGGTGTTTTGACTCAGACCTGCCACAAGCCGTGTGCACCAGGGCCATGCCCCTTGTCCCCGTCCCCAGAAGAGTCACAGGGCTGCAGCCGCCACCCTGGACCCAGCGCCCCCCTCCGAGCCACCCCACGCTGCCCCAGCACCCACCTCGGAGCCCCGGATCATCCGGGTTGGGATGGCCCATCTGGTTGGCCCTCCTCCACAGGCTCCAGGGCCCCACCTGCCCAACCCACCTCCCGGGAAGACCTTCGCCCCTCCCCGAGCCAGGGAGCAGAGCCCAGCCCTTGGGGCCGCCCCAGGAAACAGGGAGTAGGGCTGGCCTAGCGGAAGGCCTCCTCAGTGCTGGCCGTGGACTGTGAGCCTTGTCTCCGCGTGGAGAAGGGGTTCTGTGTGCACTCTGGGTCCTGGGCTTGGTGTGAAGGGTGGGAGGCAGGAGGACACGGACACGGAGAGAAAAGTTTCCCGGAGGAAAACCAATAAGGAAGAGACAATGAGAGAAAGTAAAAAAAACTCTGCTTATGCACCTGCTCAGTGACGGCTTATGGTAACGCTGAAACAACACGGTGCGTGCTTGCCTGCATGCGTGCTTGTGTGTGTGTGTGTGTGTGTGTGTGTGTGTGTGTGTGTGTGTGTTGTCTCCTGGGAAATCTTACAGCCAGGGAGGCGGGCCAAGTTAGCCCACTGTATAGAGGGGAAAACTGAGGCTCAACCCAGGAGGTTGCACAGGTTTAATGGCAGAGTGGCTGGAGTTTGAACTCATTTTGCTTGACTCTCAAGTATCTTTCTCATCCCTCGAGAAGGAGGGAAAAGAATCATGTTGATGGTGGTGGACAGTAAAGGTCACGGAGGCCAAAGACCCAACTCTGCCATTGCCAAGTCCTGAGTTTGTTTTGCGATGGATAGTAAGTGCCAGGCACCCCATGCTCCCTTTTCCCCAGCAGCTTTCCTGCCCTCTGGGCCCCCTGTCCCGGGGAACTTACCAGCCTTTTGTGTTATACGCAGTTGGCTGAGGGACTGACTGGCACCCTGAAAAACTGAAAAAGAACAAGAAAAGCTGGCTTTGAGTCGGTGCCTGTAGCAAGGCCAGGACCCCTTTATCTTCCTGAGCCTGTCCCAGCTCCCCCATGGCCTGTGGCCACTTGGTCCCTTCATGCAACCACTGGGAAGAAGCATACACCTCCGCCTGCTCTAGCGGAGCACCCCAGGGAAAACACGCCTTGTAGAGGATCAGCTCCCTCTGTGGCACTAAAGTATTATTTGAGCCCCACTCTGCTGCCTGTCACAGCAGATGGTTGTGGGAACCCTAGTCTCCCGTGGATGATCAGAGAAAGCTTACTGCGATTCTAGATGCAGATCCCAGAAATGATGGCCTGCAGGCAGCCACCTGCAAGCCCCAGGGAAGCCCAAGAAGCCCTTCTGGAAGGCAGAATCAAAGAGTAGGAGGCATTTGAACTAGGGCTCAGGGAGGGAGGGTAGGAGGCTGGGTACAGGGAAATGCAGACTTTGGGGAGGTCAGGATGCTTACATGGGTTGGGGGCCAGCAGAGCATGGATCGAACTCAGACACACGCTGGCAAAGCTGGCCGGGCATGAGAGCAGGGGCCTGGCATGTTACGTGTGATGAAGGGTTCGGAATCGGTGCCACAGCAGTAGGACAGAAGGCAGTCCCTGAAGGCTTGGGAGCAGAAGATACGGTAGCAGGGAGATTTTTTTTACCGTGTCCAGGGAGCCAGGACCTGGCTGGCTGCCGGGAGAGAAGAAGGCATGTGCCAGAGACAGGATGTGGGAGAAACCACGAGACATTATGATCAATGGAGAGAGGAGAGGCTGAGAGAGGAGATGAGGACTGGGCTTCTGGAACTTCTGTGGGGTCAAATGGGAAGCAGAAATCAGGTGTGTGAGCTTGGCCTTGAGGAATCCACAGGACTCTCAGCAGATGTTCCTAGCAATTGGGTCTGTGGGCTTGGGAGAGCACCAGGCTGGAGGTGGCAGCTTGAGGGCACCTGCAGCTGTGGTCTCATCAGGACACAGTGTGGAGGTGACAAGTGCTCAGAGACGGGGCCCCTGAGACTCCCTCCCCAGATTCTGGAGCCCCTTGATCTGCCTCCTACAGGGTGGCTACTGCTCCAGCTCAAAGCCAGACACCTCTCCTGGGGCTTATCCACAGAGTAAGGGGGCTGGCAAGGGGCCCAGGTGGGGGGAGGGGGGACAGTCACCCTGGGCTCCCAGCTACTCCTCCATAGACCAACCTTTGCTCACTCCGTGGGCAACTGCACGCCTGCCACAGCACCAACCCCCTTCCGCTCCGAGAACCTGAGTGTGCCTGGCTTTCGGTGTCTGCCACTTCCACCCACAGCTTCCCAGCAGCTCAGCCTGAGGAAAGCCCCCCACCCCCGTGCCAGGGCAGGGCAGAGAGAGGCCGGCCCCTTGCTGGCAGTGGCACCATGCAGGCTGGCCTCCCTGGTGTGCGGCTCAGCTCTCTGACCCCTCCAGGGCCCCACCTGCCCCACTCCTCACTGAGCTCCTACAGGGTGCGGGCGCTGGGATGGAGCAGAGGGAGGCAGATGCCATCTCCATGCTCAGCAGTTCCAGGCCAGCAGGGGAGCCAGAGGGTAAACCCCAGCAGGTGAAGGCACCCCCCCCAATAAGACAGGTTTAAGAGAACAAAATAAGCAAGTTGCTGGACCCAAACCATGGGTGATAGGGAAGGATAGCTGAGGATGTGCTGATGGTGGTGACAAGGAACAGTGTTCCAGACAGAAGGAACAGCATAGGCAGAGGCCTCGTGGTGGAGTGAGCCCGGGGCATATCGGGAGCCAAAAGGTAGCCTGTGTGGCAGGAGCCTCAAGAGCAAGGGAGGGCCCAGTGGGGGACAGCGGGAAGCTCTTACTAGGTACCTGACCTGGAATATGCTGGACACTGCCCAGGAAGACCACTGGTTGGGAGTCAGGGCCTGGAGCATTGCACCGACGTTCCCTCTCGGATCTTGAGTAAGACACCTTCCTTCTCTGGGCCTTTTTGGCAAATCAGTGACACCCCCCACTCACTATACACTGATCCTTGAATGCTTGGAGGCTTTGCCCTAGCTAGCTGTTCCCACCACCAGGAGGGAGACCCTGCCCCTTCTGTGCGTCATTCTGGTTCCAGAGTGGATGTAGAGGCTTCACCTCTTCCAGACGCCACCCTGACCACCCCTGTGGTCTGAGTCTCCCACTCTGCTACATCATACTGCGTTAGTTTGGCCGAGCTCATACTGCAATGTCCTGTCGGCTTTTCTGTGCGTCTGTTGCCTGTCTGCCCTCTAGCCTGGGAGCTCTGTGTCTTCAGGGACTCATCACACTGTTGGCCGAGTTACAGAGGCCAAAGGGTAGCAGAAGATGCTCCTACCCTGGCATCTAAAGGACCTTGAATTCAACATGTGCCTGCACTCCCGGCAAATTTGCTCTGAGGACGTGGGCAGGTTGCTCAGTCTCCCTGACTCATTCTTCTCATTTGCAAAGTGGATCATATCTATTGCAGAGTCCCGCCATGAGGCTCTCCTCTACCCATGATGTTAAGTCCTATTCCCATCTTGGCCTTCAGTCCCAGGAGATGGGGTGGCCAGGGACTGATCCAGGTCAAGTTCGTGCACTTCTGTTAGCTCTTCCTTTGTAGCTACTGCCTTAGCAGGTTATCGGCATATATACAAAGTCATGGTGTGTACAACTTTAGGGTTTGCATTTAATCCTCAAGTGGTCACCTTCCTTCACCTCTGTTTATACTATGTCCCCACTTATGAATTGGGGAGGGGGCTCCTTTATATAGTACTTCATCATTAAGTGAATACCTGTTCTGTTTCTGGGATATTCTTTTTGTGCATTAAGAAATTTCAGAATTAAAAAAAAAAGGTGAGGCCCTGAGCATCAGGAGGGAGCCCAGTTTTCTGGTGGCCAGATGAAGTCCCAACCTCCTGAGGCCCCTCAGGAGGCAGGTTCAAGCACACAGCAGGTCACAGGCCACTTCTGAGGCAGGATCTGTTAGTATCTTGTCTATCTCACTGAACACACATCAGCACACGGACCCAGCCACCTACCCACAGGGCCCACAGCTCCAGGTTTCTTTTCTCTCTTCCCACTTACTCCTAAACCCTGACACCCCAGGCCCCTAGCATCTTAAGGGAGTCACATCCAGATGTGATAAATGCCCTGTGTTTGAGACACCCTTACAGTCAGAGTCCCCATCTCTTTAAGAGGCCAGATTCCCCCAAATCCTTTCCCACAAGGCAGCAGAGAGATCCAAGGGCTTTAGAAACCAGGCAAGTTTTAAATATATGTTGGCACAATATTAACATTAAATACACATCATAAATAAGCCTTATAAATATGAAAAATGATAAAAACTGATAAAAATCGATAAATTAGTCATATCCTTCCAAAGAACTGGCCCAGCAGCTTTTGGGCCCCCCTTTCAGAGAACCAGGCTTTCTGCGTGAGAAAATTTCATGATGCACCACCAGGGGGAGCAGCCAGCAGCTGGGACCCAAGACCCCAGGCTTCCAGGCAGTAGTAGTAGGTCTATAGAGAACTCAAGTCTTCAGGCCATGTCCATTTGCACTGCATTTGATACCCTCTCTATGTCATAGAATCCCAGCTACTGGCAAGCCTAGAAGGCTTTGCACCGACCCCCTTGAATCACAAAGAGAAAACTGAGGTCCAGAGAGGAAAGTGGCCTGCCTAAGACCACACAGCAAGTTAGGGGTTGAGCTGAGACCTGAGCCCTGTTCTTAGACGCCCCAGATCAGTGCTCCTCCTAGGACACTCTGCCCCTGTTACAGCTGCCTAAAGTGAGGTCACCCAGATGTCCAGGTGTCTGGCCTGAGACAGGCAATGAGGCGTAAGAGGCCAGCTCAGGCCCTGACCTCCCCCTCAGAACCATGCCACCATGGAAAGGAGGAAGTCTGGGGGCAACAGCCCTGCAAGTCATGAGAGGGAAGGGCCGGCAGGCCTCTGGGGAGCAGGGCAGGGGGGGCAGTCAGTCTGGCCATGAGTCAGCCTGTGTCATCAGACCCCTGAATCAATGGAAATTTGGCCCCATGTGGCCTGACCTGGCCACCCCACCAAGACTGGGGAACTCAGGGCTAGGGGCTCAATGGCCCGACCCTTCCAATCCACCCTGGAGGAGGTAAAAGGGCCTGCCTAGCTCCCACCCCCTTAAGTGCACTTCTGAGACGTGGGGAAGCAGGGTGGGTACGTTTGGAGGTCTGAGGCAGATACCATCTTATAGAATACCTGTGGGTCCTCTATCCTCCAGGGGCGCCCCTATGGCTACCAGGGGCCAGCTGCACCCTGGGCATGAGTCTCTTGTTCCTCCCAGAGAGCTGCATCCTGCGGGCTCCCTTCAGCAGGCCCTGGTGGGGGCTGTGCCTCCGGCTCCGACTTAGACTCTTCCCCCACTCCCGGAAGACCTGCCCCACAGAGCGCATGAAGCGATGGTAGCCATGCAGGAACCTGCAGCCCTCCAGCCTGCGCTGAAAGGTGTCTAAGGTGGGGGTGGGTGATGGAGAAGCCCCTGGGCTGGTTGGAGTGGGCTCAGTCGTCTCCGAGGAGCCTGGAAGGAGCTGTGCCATGCAGTGGATGTTGTTCTTGAACCCGCGAATGTTCAGCTTCACCCCACTCAGCATCTCCAAGTCCTGGGCTTTGGGGATGTCCTGCTCTAAGGCAGCCAGTCTGAGCAGAACGTGGCCCAGCGTGGTGTCGAGGGTCCGCAGGAACACCTGCCTGCTGAGCCTCTGCAGGGCATCTTTGCTGGGGAAGGCCCCGGGGCGCTCCCGGCAGTGCTCCTTCAGCCCATTCTTGTCCAGGCCTTGGCTTCTGATCTGGAGGAAAAGGAGAATCAGGGGGTGAGCGCTAGCGCCCCCACCACACACACAGACAAGTCAACTCTGGTCTGCCTTGAAATACTGGACCTCGTGTACCCCATCCAATCCTCCCATTGTACAAATCAAGAAACTAAGGCCAGAGAGACGTGAGAACTCCCCAGTCACTGCAGGCAGGGGCAGAAGGATGCTGGGGGCTAGTTGGGGTGAGTGCACAGGCAGTGAGTGACTGGTGTGGGGAGTGCAAGAAGGGAGGTAAGCAGGGGGCCTCAGGAGGGCAGCACTCTGTTTTGTTCACTGCTACATCTGAGGCTGAGAACAAGCTGGGAAAGCTGTATGTCTCCTTGATGTTTTAGAGTTAGGCCCAGAGGGGTCAATGTGGCCCTAGAATAACACAGGGACTTGGTTTCCCCACCTGCCCCATATGGAGTGGGGGCTGGATGAATGGGAGTTGGGCCTCATCCTCCCTGGGCTCACTCCTGCCTTAGGCCTGCTGTTCTCTGAGACTCAGATGCACCAGGGGCCAGGCGCTCACATAAAGGTCCAGGAGCGTGTTGGTGTGCTGCATGAAGTCCGCCTGCTTCTGGAGCTGCCCAAGGAGCTCTGGATACTTATCCGAACAGCTGCCCATGGCTGGCATGCTCAGGAACAGGAGTCCAAGGACCAGACCTGGGGCAGAGAAGGGGGGCGGTGTCACCGGATTTGGGGAGGTGGGTGGCTTTCAGAGGGGAGGATATCCAAGAGGGCCTCCAAGGTTGTGCCCATAGTCTTAGGCCTCATGCCATCGAGGGTGGGGCTGGGCTCTGTATATGCAGTGCTGCACCTGCTGGGGCCGCTGCCACCCCCTCAGTGAGTCACTGCCCAGCATCCAAAACAGTGGCTGTGCTTCACTGAGCAGGCCCTTGAGAGGAGGCTGTGGGGCTCGGCTGAAGTTCCCATGCCTGCCAGTCCTGCTGACCTCAGGATCCAACACAGGGCAGCCCACATGGGGCTGCTCTCTGCAAAACCTCTGGGCCAAGACCCTGGGCTCCCCTGTCACAGACCCTGGCCCTCTATGCAGGTGGGCTCAGCCTGGAGGCAGCCTGGTGCCCAGAGCTATGTCTGTACAAGCAAGGGAGGCTGCCTGTACAACTGGATTCTGTCAGTAAAGGGTGTATGGGATTATTCAGACCATAGCCCCATCCTACTGACAGGAAAATCAAGGCACCGAAGGAGAAAGGCTTGCCCAGGTCACACAAGGCTAGCACTGTCCTTGACTTCTTGCACCTTCCTCTTCTCCCCATTAGTGGCCACTTTTGTCAGGCCCACCAGGGATGCTGTAAGCCAGGCTGTGTGGGGTGGTGGGGGCATAGTTACTGCTCAGCAGCCTCCCCACACCCACCCCCCAGGAGGCACCGGCAGCCATGTGGTCGGAAGGGGCCTGTGGCGCAATGGCCCGGAAGGCAGTGACACCATGTTCCCTTCCTAAGAACCGTTCAGCCCCTTGGGGAAGAGTGGCTGGGGACAGCTGAGGGGCTGGGCACCCAGGCACCGCGACCGTAGGGTACTCCTCACTGCCTCCCTGGGTATCTGCTGCCGGGCTGGCTGGGGACAGTGTGGTGCGGTGCATGTGAGCTCTCCCTGCAGGTGGGACTAAGGTGTCTTCATGGGTGGGGGTCCAGGTCTGCGTGAGGTGAGACGAAAAACTGGCCACAAACGAGCATTGTGTCCAGTCCGCCGTGGGGGCCCGGGCTGCATGTGGGGGTTCCTGGGTTGGTGAGATTGAGGGCTCTGAATGACATCACATGGCTCTGTGTGCATGTCACCCTGTGGGTGTGGCTATGTGTGCTGTGTGATTGTGTGGGCTCCAGGGTCCCCGGGCCTGGCCGACTGTGTCTATCCATCCCAGAGCCCGGGCCTGGCCGACTGTGTCTATCCATCCCAGAGCCCGGGCCTGGCCGACTGTGTCTATCCATCCCAGAGCCCGGGCCTGGCCAACTGTGTCTATCCATCCCAGAGCCCGTGAATCAGGGTAAGAAGGTCTCATCGCCCCTCCAGGCATCACGCTGCTTTCCTGCTCAGCTTCTGCAGCTTCCTTCTCTGCGCAGCACATCACTCCCCTTCCTCCTGCTTCCCTGGCTTCTCCCACAATCTATCCCCTTCCCTTATTCTCTTGCTCCCATAGTCGATTCTCTATCACCTCCCCTTAGAAGGTTTCTGGAGATATCCCTTCTCTACCCTGTGAAGATGCTGTGTTCTCAGTGGACCACTCTCTTTGCCTGACCTCCTGGCTCTCTCCTCTTCTCAGCATCCTTCTGGTGCCTGGCCTTCCCAACTCCCAAAGGACAGAAGGTGTTCCTGCTCCCCGCTGGCACCCATGGGCACAGCAAGAGGGTGCTGGTGGAGAGGAAGGAAGTACTTACTGGGCAGCGTCCTCCACAGAAGCTGTGCCTGCATGCTGGGTGCCCGAGCTCCAGCCGGCGCCTGCTGGGGGTGACACCTCCTGGCTGGGAGCCCTGCGGGCTGGCAGCCACTTTATGCCCGCCAGGGCGATTGGCCAACACCTCGTGAGGTGGGTGGGGAGGGGGGGAAGGGCAGGCCTTCTGGGAACATGACCCCAAAAACCAAACTTTCCATGGGCAGCCAATGGGTGCTGGGTACGATGGCCTGCTTGCTTCTCCTCCCATTTTCTTCGAATTCGTTCTTCGAGGTCAGCCCCACGCCCAAGGATGATGCAAACCGAAGCCTCAGCCTTCCTGGGGTGAGCAGGGAGCAAGGGGGTCTGCGCCATCTGCAGGGAGCTGTGCCCGGGATAGAGTGAGAGTATGCCCGCTGGGTCCTTGGAGCCCCTGCAGGCCAGGCTCAGCCCAAGAGCCATTGGCTCACAAGCCACAGTGGTTTGGGGCTGGAGGGGGACGAGACATCTTCCTTCTTGAGTGCCCTTCCCGCCCTCCTGCCAGGGCTGTTGGGACATCTGTGAGCGGAAACCACCGGGCTCTGGGCGCAGAGCCAGACCCAGGCTGGCAGCCCCGAGATTGTGATTCTGGCCTCACGACCTGCACCCCCAACAGGGCTCCCAGACATCTCCTTTCTCCCATCATGCACCCCCATCCTTATGCCAGGCTCATTCCCTGCAGGAGGCCCTTCCTTTACAGACAAGGTCTTCTGAGGGGAAACAAGCACTTAGAGCAAGAAACACAGGAAATTGGGGCTCAAGCCTGCTGATAAGCTGTGTGACCTGAGGCAAGTTAGGTCACTTAACGTCTCTGGGCCTCAGAGGCCCCACCTGTAAAATGAGGATTCGAAAAGCATTTCCTGGGCCAGGCTTGTAGCACTGCTGCTATTATGGACATAAAAGGCAAAGATCCTCTGAAAGAAAAAGAAAACTAGAAGTCTTAATTCCAAGTACTAGCTGTTGAGGGGTAGTGTTGGGGGCGGAGGAAGCTACGGGGGAAGCTGTGAGCTCAGAGGGGAAGCAGGGTGGGGGAGTCGCCGTGGTGACGGTTGGGGACCAGGTTTCACTTTCTCTGAAAGATAGTAATTGTGGGTTGGTCCTCTGCTTCTCGAAGACCTCGGGACGTCACAGTGAAGGAGCCCTAGACACCACGCCTCTCTCGTCAACCTGTTACTCTGCTTAAGGTAAAGTGAGGCCTGGGCTAGGGCAGACCAGAAGGAGGAGAGGCAGCGCCAGCATATCTACCAGGCCTGAAAGAGGGTCCTTGGCCTGTCCCCTCAAGAGCCCGGTAAGAAGAGGGCCTCAGAAGCCTGGGAAACCGGGGTGGGACCTCTGGAAGCTGCCAGCTGGGGAAAACATTGGGCCTCTGGAGCCTGGACAGGGAAGCTGAGGTGGCCAGAAAGAGTGAGGTGACACCCTCCTGCTCATCCCTGTCCACGACACCTATCCTGACCACCAGAGGGCTGTTCCCACCTGCTCTCTCCCCTGCATTACTCATTCATTTGTTCTACAAACTTTTATTTGGCCCTACTCTGAGCCAGTCGCTCCTAAGTGCTGAGGGTCCCATAGTGGGCAAAACCAGACATCCTCATGCCCAGAAGGCTGGTTCTCACCCCCCACGCCCTCCCTGGCACCCCAGCACAGTGCTCACCACACACACCATCGTCACCCCCGAGGGCTAGTTCTGGATTCTCCTCCTGAGAATGTCGCTTCTGCTCAATTCCTCATCTCTGCCCACCCCCGCAAGACCTGGGGCTGCCACCTCCATTTCCTGGGGCCCATGCCAAGCTGGGATCCTTCTTCATTTCACATCCCTGATCTCATCTTGCAGCAGCCCTGAAAGGGAGAGCAGCTGGGCAAGGATGCTTTGGCTCCCTTTAATGAGGAAATTGAGAAGCCAGGCCACATCTGGAAAGCCACATCTGGCAGGAGAGCTTCTTGCAGCCCCCCCCCCCCCCGGAGCCATTGAGGACCAACCTCTACACTCAGGGCAAAGCTACATGCCTTTACTCCCCCACCCCCCACATTGCCCTGGGTGGGAACAGTTACGAGGAGGTGGCATTCCAACCAGGGCGGTCAAGTCTGAAAGACCATGTTCTGAGCGTGCAGCAAACCAAGGTGCAGCATGGGGCCGAGGGCCACCAAAGGCAAAGAGGCTTATGGATTAGTTTGTTCGGGCTGCCATAACAAAATAGCACAGACAGGAGGACTTAAACAACAAGCCATCTTGGAGCTTAGAAGTCTGAGACTGAGGTGTGAGCAGGGTTGATTTCATCCTGCAGCCTCCCTCCTCGGCTTTTAGACGGCTGCCTTCTCACTATCTCCTCACATGGTTGTCTCTCAGTCTGTGTGTCTTTTTTTTTTTTAAGATTTTTGTTTATTCATGAAAGACACAGAGAAAAAGGCAGAGACATAGGAAGAGGGAGAAGCAGGCTCTCTGCATGGAGCCTGATGCAGGACTCAATCCCAGGACCCCGGGATCATGACCTGAGCTGAAGGCAGACACTCAACTGCCAAGCCACCCAGGTGCCCCTGTGTGTCTATCTTAATCTCCTCTTCTTAGAAGGACAGGGTCATATCAGATTAGGGCTCCCACCTCCATGACCTCATGGTACCTCCCCTCTTTGAGGACCCTATCTCCAATTATAGCCACATTCTGAGGTACCGTGGGGTTAGGTCTTTAACACATGAATTTAAGGGATCTTCAGCCTGCAACAGCTTACAAGAGGAGGGCATGGTTGGAGGGCTTCAGGGAGCAGGGATGATGGGGGAGTGTCCAGAACCTAGTGGGAGGGGACAGTGATGTACAGGAGGACAGGGAGTGGCCCCAAGGTAAGGAGACCCGGCTGGCCACCTGAGCAAAGCATGAGGGGAAGATGCGTCAGCGTTTCTGATGAGGTCAGCGCCTAGTGACGTCCCTCTCACCAGCAGGAAGGGCTTGCAACATGCCCAGCCTTATAAATAGGCTCCCCCAACCACAGGCCCTGGGCCGTCCCCTCTTCCCGGCCCACGTCAGCTGGGTCCGCGTGATTTGGAGGGGGAAAGAGGACTGGCTTGGTTCCTCAGAACTGCTGTTCCTCTGTCTTTCCGGCCCACCCTTCGACTGTGGGGCTCCACTGCTTTAAATGCAAGAACAGGACCTGGGGTGGCCTGGAGGATGGGCCAAAATTGGAGGCAGGAGGCCACTCATCTAGGAGAGAGACAGTGACCCCTGACCTGCTAGGGTGGGAGGTAGACACCAACCCAAATACCGTTCTCAATCTACAGTGTTGACCCAGTCGCATCCTCTTTCTGAGCCTCAGTTTCTCCTGTGGACTGCAGTGGCACAATTTAATAATCAAGTGACAGACAACCCCATTTTTAAAAAAGATTTTATTTATTTATTCGTGAGAGACACAGAAAGAGAGAGGCAGAGACACAGGCAGAGAGAGAAGCAGCTTCCATGCAGGGAGCCATGTGGGACTCGATCCCAGGACTCCAGGATCACCCCCTAAGCTGAAGGCAGATGCACAAACGCTGAGCCACCCAGGTGTCCCAGACAACCCAATTTTATTTTTTTATTTTTATGTTTTATTTTTTTGACAACCCAATTTTAAAATGGGCAAAGGAGGGGACACCTGGGTGGTTCAGTCAGTTGGGCGTCCATTCAGGTCCTGATCCCAGGGTCGTAAGATCCAGCCCCACATCAGGCTCTGTGCTCAGCAGGGAGTCTGCTGGTTTCTCTTTTTCTCTCTCTCTCTCTCTCACCTTCCGCCCCACCCTCTGCTTGCGTGCACACGTGCTCTCTCTCTAAAAAAAAAAATATAAATAAATCTTTTAAAAAATAAAATAGGGGCACCTGGTTGGTCCAGTGGTTAAACCTCCAACTCTTAGTTTTGGCTCAGGTCATGATCTTGGGTCATGAGATCAAGTGGCCTGTCAGGCTCTGTGCTCAGCGTGGCATCTGCTTACTTTTCTCTCTCCCTCTCCCTCTGCCTCTCCCCTCTGCTCACTCCCTCTCGCATGTGCTCTCTCTCTCTCAAAAATAAATCTTTTTTTTTAACTCAAAAATAAATCTTTAAAAAAATAATGAAAATAAAAATAAAATGGGCAAAGGAGAAATAGATATTTCTTCAAAACAGACAAATGATCAATAAATACATAAAAAGCTGCTCAACATCATTAGCCATCAGGAAAATGCAAAATCAAAACCACAGTGAGATACTTCTTCATACCCACTGGGGTAGTCATCATCAAAGACAGATATGACAAGTGCTGGAGAGGACACGGGAAAATCAAAACATTCACAAACTGTGGGTGGGAATGCAAGATGGTGCAGCCACTTTGAAGACAGTCTGGCAGGCCCTCAAATGCTTAAACATAGAGATGCCATACATGCAATGGTTCCACATCTACATGTACACCCAAGAGAATTGAAAACATATGTTCACACAAAAACTTGTGCACAAAATATTTATAGCAGAATTTATTCAAAAAAGCCAAAAATGTGGGAGTGACCCAAATGTCCATCGATAGAAAATGGATTTTAAAAATGTGGTCTATCCATACAATGGAATCTTATTCAGCCACAGAAAGGAATGAGGTCCCGATACATGCCACAATGTGGATGAACTTCAAAAACATGATGCTAAGTGAAAGAGAGCAGTCAAAAGGCCACATGTTGTACAATTCCAGTTGTATGAAATGTCCAGACTAGGTAAATTCATAGAGACAGACAGGAGAGGAGGGGTTGCCAGGCCCTGAAGGGGTCTGAGGATAGGAGTTATAGCTAATGGGCATGGGGTTTCCTTTGGGGTGATGAAAGTGTTTTTGAATTAAATAGTGGCGATGGTTGCATAATCTTCTGAGTATACTAAAACCCACTGAATTATACACTTAGAGTGAGAAATTTGATAGTATCTATTTTTAAAAATGCAGCAGCAAATGCTACCTCTAAAGGACAGTGAGCGTGTGAATAGTGCAAGCAAATACCTGGCCCATAAGCTAGTACTTCGTAAATATCCACCAGACACTACGGCAGACAAAGGCACACATTTGCTTATG